TAAAGTAATCAGGGTCACTTGAATATTTATGTGCTTCAGTTTCAAATCACATCAAACTGAAGATCAGATCAAACGTTTTAACACTGAGCAAATGTTATGATTATAGTGTATTTAGAATCATTGGAGGTCAACATTTAATTTCAATTAATAGCACATTAAATTTACGTCTCACTTAATGGTTTTTTAGTGGTACCACTGTAAAAATCCTATTGTGAAACATTCATTGTAAGTGTGTATTTCTGTTTAGTGTCAACAAAGAGGTAATGGAGCCCTACTTATAAAGCAACAAACAGTTGGGAAACACCGCTTTAGCAGAAATTTAACAGCCTTATAAATAATTCCTGTAAAAGATCTTTTGCAATACAATTACATGGAGCTGAGTGTTGAGAGTTTTGGAGAATTATGGCACTTCTCTAAGTGACATACCATAGTTGGGAGGAGGAAGTAGTTGGGTTTACTGCGTTAATCGTAGAAGCCAATGAACTCACATGACCCTGTTCAATCTGGGGTTTGTTACTTTAGTTGGCAAGGCCAAGAATAAAGCATTTTTATCAAAACAACAGCTCTGACACATTAAATGCGGTCTAATTGGAAGTCCAACAACACACTTGTTCAGTGTTTAACGGCCAATAAAAGTCTAACATCACCAACCAAATATATGAAGGTTTTCAGTATAACACAGTATGTTGAGTAATGAAGTCAATCATCTAAATTGGGTCATATATTCTGCTCCATGCACACATGAATGGCTACTTGCTTTCTCCCACTCGCACACACACTTTCTCTTCTGACAGACCATTGGGTGGTTCTGGGCTCTATTCACTTGGCAGGAATTAAATGCTGGCTTGACTGTAATTTGTTAACTTCAGTCCCTAAAAAAGCTTCTGCCTGGCAATGAGTGTTACTGCTCTGCTTGAATGTGGTGACTGGCGCAACAAAGATCAGCCAGACCCGATCAACAGAGCAGCTGGTAGTTAAGAGTTATATAGAGTGTGAAGCGGTATCATTTTAAAAAGATACTGCCCATTTACACAATTATCCTGGATATAGAGACAATCTAAGATAGAGAAAGAAAAGAAGAATAACTATTCGTGAGATAGAAAAGATGCAGTGCCCTTAAATTTGGGCAATATCTGCAATGTTTATTTGGGCAATGTAATTAAAACCTGTTGTAAAGAATCAATCAATAAGGCTTTTCTAAACACCTTACAGCTCATAATTCTAGGTAGAAGGTTTCTCACTTGTTACTTAGAAACAGGGTTAACATTAGTTTTTACCAGGGGATATGAAACCTTTAGGGCTCTATTTTAACGATCTAGGCACAAGATCTAAAGCTCATGGTGCAAAAACATTAAGGGCGTGTCCGAATCAGCTTTTGCTATTTTTAGGACGGAAAAAAAAGGTTTAATTCAGTGATGGTCTAACAGGGATGTACTAATTCTCTTAATGAGTTATGGGTGTGTTTTAAGCATAAACCAAAGTCTCATCTCCCATACCCTTTAAGAGTCAGTTGCGTTGCGCCATAGAGCATTTGCTATTTACATGGTGGACTTTGTAAGTGGAAAAACTGAACGCTTCACTAGCGAGAAAACAAAACAGTTAAACAGTTAAAAATCTGCAGCACGAAGATAAATAACAAGCCTCCTACAATTGGCCTCTTTACTTTCTCTTTCTCTCTTTCGTGGATATGGAAACAGTATTGTATGCTCTCCACCGAAGACATTCATTAGCCTACATATTTAATTTCATTTGTCAAAGATTTGTTTCAAAACTTTTTCTAAATTCAGTTCTAATTTCCAGCAAATGTATAAGTGAACAATAATAGCGAAGTGTGGTCAAAAAAACTGATACCCAAACGGATTTTTAGACCTGCTTTCGGCTGGTTTATTGCACAGTCAATTTTAGTTCCTCAAAATAGCAAAGCGCCAACAATGTGCAACACTAGGGCTGCACGATTAATCAAAAAAAGATCACAATCTCGACCCTACACACGATCTTAATTCAGCTTTTCTACGATTGAGCCAATTATATTTTCGAGGTCAGGAAAGAAGCATAAAGGCAGTCGCACAAGTCTTCACAGGAACATGAACACCTTCAAATGGTGTTACAAGTGTCACATACTGTATTTATGACATATAATTCACCCAGAAATGTCATTTCTGTCTTCATGTTATGATGTATTTGCTGGCGCGAAATCACGCGTGAGCTGACCACGAGCTACTTCCGAGAACGAGCACGTGTGCATGCAGCACGCCAATGACGGCTACTTTAGTGAACAGAACCTGCATAGGCTGTGAATAACAAGTGATAAAGTTGTAAATAACGTTCCGTTTGTTGCACAGAGCAATCGTTTGAGAGCCGCGCTGAAACAATGATTTGCATGTGTGTGTTTTATCACAGTGACGGCAGCCATGAGCCGCACTCGGAAGTAAAAATTAAACTGGCCGCAACTCATTTAAATGCTCATAACGCATTTTACAGTATGATGGCGACAAGCATTTGTTGAGTTTTTTCTTTCATAGCTAACAGAGTGTTGTGCATAAAAATAAATGTTTAACAGTGTATAGCTACTCTAGCTTATTTAATGTTGAATATAAAGCAAGAAGAAATCTGATAATGACAAATGTCTGAATTTACCAGTGAAAACAAATGGTCTAATAATGCTGTCAATGACAAATGACAAGCACATGTGTTAAACGTAATAATATAACACTTAAATATTATGAACAGTTGTATTCTGATGTCATCATTTTACTGTGAATTAACAAACAAAACATATTGAAAGTTTGATCAAGTCCATAGTGACTGAACAAAATGTAGCATTTTAAGCAACAGTAGAGCTACACATAGGCCTAATATTATTATTGTTATTTTACCATACAGTCACTTTAAAATTATAAGGTTCTATCTGACATTTTTGTCAAAATTGAGTTATTGACATATTCTTATTAAATGACAACTTATTGTTTACATTTTAAGACTTAAAAAAAAACAAATTTTACACATACTATTTGCTATGTGGATTGCAAAAACTTTGAAGCTCAATATCTCGAAATCAGTCAGAACACAGATAGAACGTTATAATTCCAAGATGATAATATGTTTGAGTATTAACAATTATAATAGCCTACTCATATTAAGCTTTATTTTACATCTAAAGAATCGTGAGAAGGAATCGTGATCTTGGCTTTAAGCAAAAAAATTGTGATTCACATTTTAGCCAAAATTGTGCAGCCCAAAACACATCTTTACTAGACTGGAACACCCATTAGTCTATAAAGTGGTGCAAATGGATTTGCTATTTACACAACCTGACACAGAATGGGGAAATTATAGTTGCGCTGGTCTGAAAATACCAACACATCACGCTAAACACAACTTGTGCCTTATTGCGCCAGGTATATGATAGGGCCCTTAGACTCTAAAGTTTAGAGTTGGCATCCCCTTTCCACTGTTAAAACCACAATACTGTGCTAAATATGTGCACTGTAAAGCAACACAGTGCTAATAAAGTTTCTGCATTTTCACTGTTTTCCCAGATGTATTTATACTTTTATATCATTGTTTTTGTAGTTAGGTGAAGTACTGTATGTTTTATAACATCTGGAGTTCATTTTCACAGAGTAACACATTCATAAAACAACATTGATTGTTACTGTAATTGTGTATTGTGTACCAAGTATTTACAGTCAACATGAACTGTCAAAAGACAGCTAAAAAGCAAAGCATAGGCTACACTTTAACATCATGGCTTAATTCAGTGATAAAGTGCTTGAGTTGACTTTACAATAAGAAATCCTGTGCTTGAAAAAGAGCATTGTAAAAAACATTTCAAATGACTTCAGTAAAATAAATAAACCTCAAGGAACAATTACTCAAACAATACATAACTTTCATATGACTTAAGCAAATTTGACATAATTCCGTGCATGCAATTTACTTAAAAATAAAAAACATAAACAAATTTTTTGTGTTTTTTGTTTTGTTTTTTTGTGCAGCTTAATGCTTAGCAACCGACAGACAACTGGTTGCCTAAAATTCCTGATTGGATAGACACGAAAACATTTGAGAAGGGAAAAATGTGAAATGGTATTAGAAAACATGTTAATTTAAGTGAAGAGTTTTTATACATTTTTTCATCATTCTAATCTGAAAAGTGGATTTAGGATGAACTTGACCATAGTTTGCAATGAGAAGAGGATTGGACCCTGTGTTTATCCAATCAGCAACAAGGAAATTGTAAATATGTAAATCTGCCAGTGTCTAAGTATGAGCAGAGAGAAGCATGCAGCAAGATAACCTCTTTACCTGCTTATAAACTACACCGGGCTAAATATTTCAAGTGTGAAAAGTTATATAAATTAAAAGAAAATAGGACTGCCAAACTGAACTAAATTAGTTTTTAAAGATGGATGGATAGAAATATAGATAGAGTTATGCAACTTAAAGCATCAAAAAGGAAAAATAGTAACTTGAAAAACTGAAAGAAATAGTTTTTATCCCAAATCCCAAAAGAAATTACACATCACAGAAATTACACATCTGCTAAGTGCTATGATTTCTGTGTAAGTGGATGAACTTTATACTAAATATAATAAAATTATACTTTTTAATTTTTGTTTTATTTTAATAAATTAGTGTTTAATATACCAAATATCTGAATAGTATGACATTAAAACGACCACTGGAAAAAATACAAATAAAGATGTTCTAACTACTGCATTTTTGTGTACTCCCTGCACACATTAACAAACTCCTTTCAAACATAACTGTTTAACTAAACATTGTAATTATCTATTTTCACCCAAACAGATTATTAGCACCAAAAATTTTCTTGAGAAAAGTTTCACAATGTCTCGGTTTCAGGTGCTTACAACCAATTAGTCCTGAAAGATTGAGTATGCAAACTCCAAGACAAAATCAAATAACAGCATAAAGTACATTACCGCGCAAAACAAACAAACAAAACAAAAAAGTCAAATAACTAGTAAGTCAAATACCTTATTTCGGGCTTCAATATTTCCACACTATGAGCTTCTGCGACCGTATTTATTATCTTCAGATTTTGTTACTTGATCTTCAGATTATATATATTCAGACCGGCGTGACTTTTAGTGTCCGAGTCCTAGTGTGAACTATCTTGACAAACTCCTGCGGGTCATCCGCCTGTATCAGTCAGCGAGGAGGAGAGGAGAGGACAGCTGGACTGCTTTACACGCGGAGGCGCGCGGGTTTGGGTGGGTTGAGAACTTCAGCCAACAGCTCTCTGCTGTGATGCGCACTTATGGGGGCTATACCTATTGCGCAACACCTCTGTGAAACAATTTCTGACAGGTATAAAGTTAGCTACAAGGTTTTCATTCGACTTAAAAGTATGTGAACAAATTAAACGGTTTCTCAAAACGCGGACATGTTAGCACGTCAACAATCTGAGAAACTCCCAGCAAGAATTTTCTGCCAAAATGATGTTTGCTAATAAATTTTATGCTAATTTATTGAATTTTAATGTAACAAAAATGTGCAAATATTAATGTGGTAATGTTACTGTTGTTTAGTGTTCATAAACATCGCCATCATTTATTTTTATTGTAATTAATTAATTCATTCAGAAAAACAGTTATAGATTAAAAAATGAGGATCTTTTGTGGAAACAGATCAGTATCAATTAGACAGTTTTAACTATGAGGAATGTACAGTAATACCCAAAGGAGCCTGGCTGAAATCCATTCAAGATCAAATGCATTTTGCTTGTCAAAACCTATTACTAAAGAAAAGGCTTATTCTTAGTAGATGAGGGAAAGTTTCTTGCAAGCTGATGGAGCGAAAATGGTATGCAATTTATAATGGAATGGGAAAAAATGCAATCATGAGTTAAAAACTAATAGATTTTATTAAGATTATATAACAATGGAACCACAAATGGTTCTTTCCAGTGAAAAAAAAATTTAGACTATAGTAAAACTTTAAATTTAGAAAGAAAGGCTGATGGTTCCATGAACTTTTTATCACTGTTTACTGAAAGTTTCATAATTCATACCATTTAACACAATTCTTTAGAATAATAACAATATATAACAAAAATATGTTTTCTCGTCACTGAAAATTATTTTGTGGAAACCAAAATTATTTTTTGTGGCTTCACTGTGAAAAAACACATTATTTTGTAGTGATGGTCACTGAAAATTTCTTTATGGTACCAAAAAATTTATTCTTATATGGAATTTCTCCTTAAAACTCAATTTGGATTTCTAAAAGTATTTTTAATTTAAACAAAGTAATATCAAAAATATTATTAATTTATATTTTATTCTTCTCAGCTATTTCATTAAAATGCTGTCATGCTCTCTGATAAGAAACTGTATAATATACACTCACCGGTCACTTTATTAGGAACACCTGTCCAACTGCATGTAAACGCAAATTTCTAATCAGCCAATCACATGACAGCAACAGACATGGTCAAGAAGATCTGCTGCAAAACTGCAAACTGAGTATCTGAATGGGAAAGTAAGGTGATTTAAGTGACTTTGAATGTGGCATGCTTGTTGGTGCCAGATGGGCTGGTCTGAGTATTTTAGAAACTGCAGATCTGCTGGGATTTTCACGCACAACCATCTCTAGGGTTTACAGAGAATGGTCAGAAAAAAATAAAATAACTGGCAGCAACTGGCTCTGATGTTTGCTTACAAAGCGATTTGCGCCTCTTCTTATCTGCTCTCACTTCTGCAGATTTATAGGCCCTCCAGAAACTTGCGTTCTGTGAATGAACGTCACCTCGGGGTTCCATCCCAAAGAGGGAAGAAGTCACTTTCCCGAACTCTCGCAGTAGAACTCTGAACGGCAGTCACTCGCTGTCTTCAAAAAACTACTAAAAAATCTAAAAAATCTACTATTTAGTCTCCACTTTCCTTACTAATATGCAATTCCCTCTCTGACTCCTCCACTAACTACACAAATTAAAAAATTACTACTGTTTTGCTTCTTACACTTTCTTTACATACCTGAAACTTGCCATTAGCACTTATTCATTGTTGCTCCTTTAGTTGTGTAAATTGCTTCCTTGTCCTCATTTGTAAGTCGTTTTGGATAAAATTGTCTGCTAAATGACTAAATGTAAATGTAAATATCCAGATAGTGGCAGTTCTGTGGGGGCAAATTACTTCCTGATGACAGAGGTCGGAGGAGAATGGCCAGACTGGTTTGAGTTGATAGAAAGACAACAGTAACTCAAATAACCACTCGTTACAACCGAGGAATGCAGAAGAGCATCTCTGAGTAAACCACATGTTTAAGCTTGAGGTGGATGGGCTACAGCAGCAGAAAACCACAGTGGGTGCCACTTCTGTCAGCTAAGAACAGGAAGCTACAATTCACACAGGCTCACCAAAATTGGACAATAGAAGATTGGAAAGACGTTGCATGGTCTGATGATTCTTGATTTCTGCTGCAACATTTAGATGGTAGGGTCAGAATTTGGCGTCAACAACATGAAAGCATGGATCCATCCTGCCTTGTATAAATGGTTCAGGCTGGTGATGGTGGTGTAATGGTGTGGCGGATATTTTCTTGGCACACTTTGGGCCCATTAGTACCATTTGAGCATTCTGTCAACGCCACAGCCTACCAGAGTATTGTTGTTGACCATGTCCATTCCTTTATGACCACAGTGTAGCCATCTTCCAGCAGAATAACGCACCATGTCATAAAGCACAAATCATTTCAAATTGGTTTTTTTTTAACATGACAATGAGTTCACTGTACTCAAATGGCCTCCACAGTCACCAGATCTCAATCCAATAGAGCACCTTTGGAATGTGGTGGAATGGGAGATTCGCGTCATGGATGTGCAGCCAACAAATCTGCATCAACTGCGTGATGCTTTCATGTCAATATGGATTAAAATCTCTGAGGAATATTTCCAGTACCCCGTTAAATCTATGCTATAAAGTATTAATGCAGTTCTGAAGGCAAAAGGGGATTTCAATCCGGTACTAGTAAGGTGTACCTAATAAAGTGGCCGGTGAGTGTATTGTTACAAACTTGTATTTAACTTCCATGTTTGAGGTTGTGGAGATGCACATAGTTGTGGCTTCATAAGTATAGCACATTCTAAGGAGACAGTCCAGCAATAAAGAGATGCACTCAGATGCACTTTCTTTCAGAGGAAGCTGCAGTCAGAATGTTGTTCTGCAAAGGGACATTAGTGATTATGTTAAAATGTACTCTAAACGTATGGCAGAGCAGCATAATCTAATGTGTGGACTACCGCTTTACTTTATCTTGATTTATGGACATGCTCATTTAATTCATGTCATGCTGAGCTATAGAAAGTACAGTTTAGCTTATGATGATGCTGTTTCTGGTCTGTTTTCTATTTACCACTGGCAACCTGCACTGTTATTTATTTCAGCATTTAGTTCAATCAACTGCCAGCACCCAATCACTAACAAACAGCAGCTGGAGGATTGGGAACTGAAACTGCGAGACTTTCTGGAGCAGACCAGGAAGAAAAAAGGCTTTACCTGACATCCTGCCCAGTCATCTTCAGCAATGGTGATTGAGACTACATAAAGACCAATGTGGCACTGGTCCAGCCAAATAAATAAGACATAATTTTTTGTAGGAAAGAGGAAAATTCCTGCATGGTAAATATGTGAAGAGTAAGTAAGAAGCAATAAAACACTTCCTGTTTCTATTCTACACTCTAAAAAGTGGTTTTGTTGAGTCAAATATGGATATACCCAGCTATTGGGCTCAAAGGGTTAAATTAAATTTAACTGAAAAAAATTAACCCAACCCAATTGGGTTTAGGGAAGGGTGGTTTACTGGTCTGGATGATCTGTATGATAAACCACACCTTTTTGTAGGCTTTTAGGACATGTATATGAAACATAAGCAAACCATACCTTAAGTAACATATTTCAGATTCACAAAAATGTGCCTGGTAGTGGATTTGTCATCTAAAACGTGCAATGAAAGGTACCTGAAGCAACCAGCCTGATCTCACAAGGAAGCATAAGTATTTTACGTTTTGTCTGTTTAGTGCTAATTCGTATGAATTCATACGAGTTTAGTCGTATGAAAATGTACGATTTTAAAAAGGAGGTGTGGCACCCAACCCCACCCCTAACCCCAACCATCATTGGGTGATGAGCAAATCGTACTAAATTCTACGAATTAGATCGTATGAATTCCTACGAATTAGCCACTAAATCAAAAAGTTACTAACTGCCATGAGATTGGGTTGGGAGCAACAGGCATCTGAAGAATCCAAAGAATCTGGGTTAATTCAATTTAGAAAAGTGTCAGTTTTTTTGCTCTTAAAATTAAATTTTGGTTACCAACATTTTTCAGTAATTCTTTTTTCCAATATTGTCACAGTAACCAGCGATCTAGCCCATGCAGATCACCGGTGAGCAACAAATCTGCCCGCAAAAAAACTACATATCCAGTCATGCACCACTCACACAGCTGGTCTAGATCTCCATGATTGCAAACAGACACCGCTGAAGCTGTTCAGGACTAATTACACAGACTATTAATACATCTCTCAAACACACACACATGTTGCTGAGTCTTGTTAAACTGAATAGTGAACATTACGACGTGTTTTCCTCGCCTTGTTTTGACCCTCGCTTTGTTTTGTTTGTTTACATTGCTTGCTGCCTGCCTGTACTGACCATTCGCCTGCTTATTGACTACAACTGGATTGCCCGTATACATCTGTCTGCTCCTGTTTGTGACCATTGCTTGCCTGACCATTTTCTGTATAATAAACCCTGCGTTTGGATCCACACTCCCTTGTAAGCATCCCCACTTCACATTACATACATAAGTTTATTACAGAATTTTAATTTTAACTATGCTTTTAATAAATTAATATTGATAATATAGCATTATTTTTAAGTAACATGGAATGGTATTTTTAGTAGGTTACAGTAATTGTCTTAATGAGTCATTCTTTGAGACATTTACTGTAACCTACTGAAAAACAACTAATACATATTATTTAAAAGAAACACTTTATTATTAATATTAATTAATAAAAACTAGTTCAAAAAGTTTAGACTTCTTAGACAACATGACACGGCCATTTTAGAATTAAAATTCTGTCATGATATAGCTCCACTTGTTCCAAACCTGTTTGAGTTTCTGTCTTCTGTTGAACACAAAGGGAGATATACTGAAGAAGGTCAGGGGGAAAACAGCTATAGACTTCAAGTGTGATTTATTTATAAACTA